ATATCTTTTCAAAGGAGCTTCCTTGTGAATAGACTGTAATATTTCATGATGGGGCACGCAAAAGCTGTGCACAATGCCGCTCATATCCACTTTGCTTTCAGGAGCAACAAAGATCATAGCAAGACGTCTTTATGGCTAATTCAGTCAAAGGCGCATCTCCCGTCCTCCGGCGCGGAGGTCAGGCCGCCGTGTTCCGTCCACCAGGGGGGTTTTCAGAGGCCAGAGACGGCCAGCTGGCTCCATCACGCGCGCGCGCACACACACACATATATTTATTTATTTATTTGTTTTTTGACTGGACGACAAATGCCCGTAAAACCAAACAAGATCGAGTTTTAGTGACAGCTGACATTTTGAGTGATATTTCCCTCCGAGCAGGAGGTGAAAAGTAAATTAATGAATAAATGTCTCGTTTTCAGCAAATGCGTGTTTCATATTGAGACCCACAATTTCCATCAAAATGCGCTTTTACCCTGGTTTTGAAAAAAAAAAAAAACATTAACACGTGCTTTGCTTCAGATTAGACACGTGAGTTTGTAGAACATAAAAATTCAAGCAAAAGGTCACTTTAAAAACTCTTTTCCTAAAATCTGTACATTGTGTCTCTTCGGTTGGTGACTGTTGTGGATGCATCGTCTTACGAAAGACACCTGAAATCACACCGAGGAAAATATCAGCTGCCTCCACCCGGCGGATCGCTGCAGTTTATTATTCAGATGCTTCTCGTAAATATTTTCAAGGACTCACATGAGCATTGTCCTTTCCGCTGTTCGATTTAGCTGAGCAGTAAACGCACCATTGCGCAGTAAAACCAAACAGCAAAGGCACCCTTTTACGCACGAACCCGACGAAACCAACTGCAGGGTTAAAACCTAAAGTGTGAGTTAAACGGGGAGTTCGCAGGGAGGTTTTTGGATTCGGCTTTATTTAGTTACAGCTTCTAACTGAAATCGGCGGCTCATTGTACAGCGCCATCTAATGCACTACTCTGACAAATACAGTTTATCACAGGCGGCTGCTAAAGTGCCATTTCTGTGTGACTCGTCTTATTTGACTGTAGCGCTGTAAGACAGTTCAAATTACTCCACTCGTTTCAGCTCCAGTCTCTGCATGTATTCTTAGTAATATTCATGCGCCAAAACAACACTTCGACCCCTTTAAATTCTCCACTCTGCGCTCAAAAATGGAAAATAATTTTCCTTAAATGTACACCAGGCGCCGCCACAAAGAAATACAGTCCAGAGGTAATAATTTATCCACTCGGTCTTCTGTATTTGCCACCCTGCTTTCTCAATTGGGGAAAGCTGTTCGTGCGCCCCGGAGCCACTTGTTGCCAGCGCATAAAGTTAGCGCTTTTGAGAAGTTAAATATCCAGGAAGGAACACAAGTTAGTATCTCAAGGGCTTTACGGGGACAAAAGACCAGCGCCTTAGCACCATATGCTTAATGGCTACAGCCGTCTAGCCTTTATTAAAGGCAAAAAGTGGTCCTTTAAAAGTTGGAAAGGCTCCTTTATTTGAGTTAGATGGAGCACTTGCGCACAAAACCAGAAGCGCGCATTGCCATTGACTCGGCCCCTTTCTCTTTCTTTCAGGACTCTGAAGCGGCCACCGTCATCGCCCGTTTCACTCCAACATAAGCTTTTCATCACCAGGCTTTGTTCTCGGTGAAAGTAATGCTGCGAATCAAAGACATGACAATATTTTCCATCAGCTTGGAGACCCTGGACAAGAGCCCTCGAGCTCTGGCAAAAATCAGGGCCGGTTATTCATCCTGTCATTCCGCACCTGTGGTCCTGCATTCAAAGTATACAAACCTGTCCCTATTAACATTAATTATTCACAAACAACACAAAGGCTGAAATAGAGCAGGTTGAAGTCTGTTTATGGCTCCTAGATGTTTTATTCCTCTGAAGATGTGCCCAGAGCTTTTTTCTTCCCCTCTCTTGCAACCAAGTGTCCGTCTCTCTTTCAGTCTTGAGTAGCCCTACAGTTTGGATTGTACAATCGCAGCATCTGCTTAATCTCGGGGGATGAAAATATGACACAAAACATAGCTAATCGAGGATTTGTTACATCCCGGTAATGAGTGATCGAAGCGAGAAACAATGGTGCGGCACTATGACAGCCGCGTGATTCAGGCCCACTTGGGACAGTTTACTCTCTTGTGGGGAAAGCACCAGGTGATGGTAAGAAAATCGTCGGACGAGTAGAGAACGCAGCTCTTTTCTCTCCCTAGAAAAAATAGAAGACATAAATTTAATTGGCTTATCAAGGCGCGGCGACCAGGCCTCGCTGTTAATTGACTGCGGGTGCACAAAACAAACGCAGCGATGTGTTTGGCTCGTCGGGCCCGCGCTGCGCTTTTAGCCCAGTGTCACGTCATTGAACTTGTGCTTTATTATTGCAAAACGTCATGCTTTACAGTGGCCATATTGTATCGTGGACAAAGGGCGATGGAACATTAAAGACGTGGAAAACGGTGCCAACGCCGTCTCGAACAGTGCAAGGGCCTCTCTTTTTGCTTGTTTTAAAGCAGCTGCTGTTCAGGGACTAGCAAGGAGGAAATCAAAAGAGACAAAGTTTCAGCTACCAGGTGCATCCTCGGGGAAAACGGCGCAGACAAGTCTCTGCCAGCGTGACAAAGAGAGCCTCATAAAAGATGCCATTTAGACCGAAAGGTCAAGTCTGAAAAGAAGAAGCACCGGAGAACGATCGCAGCTACCTTCCCTCATCTCCGCATTCAGAGCCGAGCCAGCACACATCCACTGAGCACCTTTGACTTACCTTGCGCGCTGATCGGCCACCTTGGCGAATCTATACCAGCGGAAAAGCTCCACAGCCGGCACTCTGATGCCATGCTGAAAGCGCAAAAGCTCATAATCCGGTGTATTAGAATGAGTCCTGGGGCGAGATAATCTGCAGATCAAGCCGATCTGTGGTTCTTCTTTGGCGCTCACATGCGGGTTCAAACCGGATGTGAAAAAATACAGCGTATTGGACCCATTGGACCCATTACTCTGTGTCGGTCGGTGCTGGTAAACTAAAGCTCCGCACTGGTGTCTTTTTAAAACGGCGCCATAAACTGGCAGCAGACTTCTTTATTAATTGTTGATTCACTTTCAACCTGCGGTGCCATGAAATAAATATTCAAAGCCACCCGTGCGTAACCGTGCAAGTGTCCGATGCATGAGGATAACAGGAGGATAACGGCTCACTCATAAATGTCCTGGTGAAAACTGCTAACAGTGCTCTGTAGCATTGTGCCATCTATTACAGCAGAGACTGAGTTCGTTAGAATCACCGAAGCGCTGCAAACCGTCAACAATCCACTGACAGATGCAAAGAAAACGAGCAATCAAATCATAACTCAAAGTATGAGTTAGCGTACAATAGAAATATGGATCTGTTGTTTGTGGCGACAGCAGTGATGCACACGTTCAAAAGTTTTACTGAACCGTCTTTGCAGCTTTATTCGTGTCAGAAAATCAGATTTTTTGTGACTGATTTAAATGTTGGAACTCTGGAAAGCATCGGGTTATTTTCTGAATTCTTTGCTATTCTTAGAAATCAGTTTGTCAGACAGCTCGCTTCTACCCCGGACTCGTTTGTTCTGCAGCAGGATGCAAGAGCGCGCCGCGTGCCTGCGCTCAGTCTGCAGATCCTTTCTCAACCAAATCGCTATCTGTGGCTCAGAAAGTTCAGGCCTGCGCAGAACTAAAGGAAATCAAACTTTCCGCGCCAAGCCTGTAGTCGGAATGACAAGATAGCCGGGAGGATTTAAGCCCGGCCGCGACCGCACCAAGAGACGCTGAGACGCGCTTTGCGTTGCGACACTAAAAAGCGCGAGTGCGACGCTACAACGTCTGAACGGACCTGCAGCTCTTGCCAAGGAGGTGAAGTTGCATTAACTCTCTAACATTTGACTTTCTAATGGCTGCAGCAGGATTACAGGCTGCTGTCGGAGGCACAGAGGAAGTGGAAGAATCGGCTAAACAGAGGCTGAGAGAAACAACGTAACTGTCATTAAAAGAGGAGAAACGAAGGAAAGACGAGTTGTGCAGCTGAAGAAGAAACAAACATACCTGCTCTGCTGCAGGTGCAGCGGGTCCTCCTCAGCCTGTGTGCGGCAGCTTTTAGCCACTCATGCTTCATATATACGCCAGCGTGTCGGCAGAGGGGGCGGCCGCAGAGAAGGCCGTGGGGACACATGTTCCCGGGATGCCGCTACCACGGGAAAATCTGTCCCGACAGCACCTGGCAGCACAGAGAGTATTCACTGCTTTCCCACCATACTGTTGCACGCCCGCGTGCGCTTTAAACACCTTCAGCTGTCTGTGGGTGTACAGTGCGCCTCATTAGCATTCATTTGCATATTTATGTCACAGCGTTAGAGCGCTTTCTTCTTTCATTCACTCAATCACACTTTCAGGTCAAAGTGCGTCAGCTTCCAGCGGCCACTGCGCAATTCCACGGCAAGGAGGATGCTCCCCGCACCCGTTCATCTACTAACACGCATGTGTGTATTTTACAAATGTGTTATTGTGATCTGAGAGCTCCGAATTCACGGTGATTTTTAAAATCTGACGATTAAAATTTGGGCAAACAAGCAATAAAACTGCGACTGGTTGGATTGTTAACTAGTTGAAGAACGGACACATTTGTGCTGCTCTCTACAAAACACATCGTTAGTGTGATCATCCAAAGGCACAGCTCACAGAGCTCACAGAGCTCACACTTATGCGCACAAACCTGAGACGTTTTCAGTAAGACTGGCGCTAAACATTTAAACATGTGTGTAGTTTCATCTTCTGTGAACACAGAAATGTTTACACAGCAATAATAATAATAATAATAATAATAATAATAATAATAATAACAACAATAGTCTTCTTATCAGTTGGTTCTTTTATTTGAAGAGAGCATATAAATATAAATCATTGTGGACCGATATAAAAATACATTTTGTCTTACAGTACATTTAAATTAAAACATATATTATCACCTGTGAAACAAAATAAATACATGATTGCCAGCTGCTTGAATTACAAAAATAAAATTATCAACATGATAAAACTATGTACAGCACTGAGGCCCGTATGTAAAACTGTAAAATCAGCTCACATGCTCCTTTTTCACATTAACAGACAATAGCGTGATACACTTTACAGTCGTCACATTTCCACGGCGCGAGGCTCGTGCTGCTGTTCAGGCCACCAGGTTGAAGGGAGGCTCGTTTTCGATGTCTGTGAGGCCCGCTTTACTGTGCAGTTTTCGGGGGTCCTCCGGTGTCCAGACTTTTGCGGTACGGATGATGTTCTGCTCCCGGAGCTGCTTTTCATCCGACCAAGACAGCGAGTGACCGGCCAGCGGAGGCAGGCCGTAGTCGGGGTCGCTTGGCGAGGGGGACCCTGGAGGGGGAAAGCAAAAATTAATAACATGTTCATACTTGTTTATTTTAATTTCCGCACCACTTTTTTGGCTTTGTTTTATTTTGCTTTTTTCATGACACCATAAATCTGACGATTGTCTGATTAGAATTAGATGCGCCCACGAGTCTCTTATTACGCATAAAGGCAGGCTTGGTTCCATTGCGACCACGGTAAAAACACTCACTTGTTCCTCTGTGGCAGATGATTACTTTCTTGGGCTGCGCGTGCATGTCGCTGCTGGAGTTTCTAATAGGAAGGTCAGACTGCACGAGCTCAGCCAGGAAGTTGATGTAGCCGATGGCCAGCCGCAGAGTGTCCACTTTAGAGAGTCTCTTCTCGTAGGGCAGAGTGGGGATGTGGGAGCGCAGGCCCTCGAACGCGTCATTGATGGACTGCATCCTCCGCCGCTCCCTGACGTTGGCCGCCTGCCTCAGCTGCTGCATCTCCATCTCAGACCTCATCCGCCTCCTGCGCTTCAGCAACGGCCCGCCGTGATGGCCCATCCGAGGAGACAGCTCCGGCGTGCTGTCTGCGCAGCCGTAGGAGAAGACGGAGGACGAAGAGGAGAAGGACAGGTTGCCGATGTCGTAGTCTCCATCGTGAGGCGGTGCTCTGCCGTCTTTGCTGTAATAGTCTTGAAAATTACCCGAGAGGAAGTCCACTTCGTCATCCAGAAAGTCATCCGTCTCCAAGTGTCCATCTCGAGAGGACTGGTCGGTGAAAAACTCGTCATCGTCGAAATAAGGAGGGGAGGAGAAAGAGTCGAGTCCAGAGAAAGGGTCCAGCACCCCATCCATGTTTGTTTTCTTCCTGCTGTTACCGCGGAAACAATCACACCCGTCTTTCCTTTGACACTGTGCTCGCGCTCTGCACTAGCTGAACTTTTAGCTGAAGAACAGGCACGCGAGGGTTCTTTATAGCGACATCCATAGTCGCGTGCCGTTTGCCAGGCGGGCCAACCAATCACAGCTCGGTCCGTGAGGCGCACCTCGAGATAGTCCCCAAACCACGCCCCTTGTCCCCGCTGTCCGAGCTCGCTCTGACGTCTTAACTGAGCTCCACCAGCTGGACCGCGCTCAACAGCCCCACGCTGTCACCTGTGCACAACAAAGAACGTTTATACAGTTTAATGAAATCTTTTTTTGGGCACATGTTCCATGAACGCTCCATTTGCTACAACATGTTTCATAAAATGCGCAAATTGACGTCTTAAACCCGTCACAACTGAGCAGAGAGAGGTTTCTTTATTCCTTCATTTGTTTGTTCGTTGTCTAATTAAAGAATCATAATTAGCAAAAATAAAAAATTAAATAAAATAAATAAAAACAAGTATTAGAAGATGATGAGCAACAGTCCAACATTCATGAGCTCCGTGACTCGTTACTGTGCAACAGGCGCGCGCTGTGGTAACGCCGCGAATAACGTATTCAAAAAGATATCTAAATTATTATTCATATTATTATTATTCATATTATTATTATTCATATTATTATTCATATTATTATTATTATTATTATTATTATTATTATTATTATTATTATCCATCAGTTTTTTTCCACTAACCTTATCAGGGTCGTGGGGAGGGTGGGGGGTTACCCCGCTGGGGGAAAGGCGGGGTAACCCCCGTACAGGTGGCCAGTCTATTCCAAGGCTAACACAGAGAAACAAACAACCTATTATTGTTGTTGTTGTTGTTTTTGTTGTTACAGTCACAATTTCTTTTTCTTAACAGTCAGTTTCAATTGAATGAATTTCACTTAAATTTCAATTAAAACAGGCGGGCAGTGCGTCACAGGCAGCACGCGACAGCGATGATAAAAATAATAATATCCTTTTTCCGTCACACTCCATTTATGGCCTCAGCTGAAAGTCACTTTTAGACTTCCTTTTTGGACGCAGCTACGGTCACACACGCTTAGCTTGTACTTGGTGAGCTTTTTCAGAGATGGAAGTCTGGCAGGTTTCAGTCGTTTGTCTATTCCCGCTCTAACAATGAGGGGAAACCGTGCGCGCGCGAGTGCGGCTGTGTCATTTATCCAACAGTAAGTGGGCAGCGCTGCCGCAGTAAATAAGTGCACCAGCAGAGCGGTCGATGCGCCACTTGTGCCAGCCAGTGCGGGTTTGACTGGGAGGACTGGTTGACAAATAAAAGCACAGTGGTGGGCCCCGGAGCGCGCGCCTCATTGACACACGCGACAAATGAGCGCACCCCGGTGTACCGAAGAAGACTGCCCGCCGGTCTGTAAATGCGCGTCTATTCACGCCATTCACTGCAAACACTCACTTTGTTCTGCGGACAGAAGGGACCTTCTGCAGGCAGGCTACGTGCGCGCGCACTGCGTGTGTGGACATCGGCGGAGAGATGGAAAGCCGCGGCCGTGGGAAGAAGGCCACTTGCGTCCTCATCGCCTTCAATGCAACACGTCGCGATGTAAATGAGACTGTGTTGCTGTCTGCGTGATGAAGCTGTGGGCCCGACACTTCCGCACGCGCATCCTCTAAAGTCGTCTGCAGGACGCGCG